GAAATTAGGTCGAGGTCAAGCAAAAATGTCTGACAGGCACGAGGACTTTGCAAGGTACGCATATACCAAATATAGTTATCCTATTACTCATAATAAGAGAGAAATTAAAAATACTAAAAATCTCAACTTTTTTTCAAGTAGTCACTGAACCATGTAAATGAGGTCAAGGACAATGGACATATGAAAGACGAAAACTTCATAACATAAGGCATCTATATACGAAGTATGAAGGATCCAGGTCTTCTACCACCTTCTGAAATATGTTTGTTAATGCCGCCTTGGCCACCGCCGCCGCTGGTACTATCCCTGTGTCTCGCTTTCTGCTACATAAGTCGAAGGCTCGACAAAACATTGCAAATATAATGCTTTAGATTACTTTGCATTTCAGATAGCTGGCTATCGGTTTAAACAAGAAACCAGCAACACCAACATTGGTATTTTTTATTTAACGGCAGGAAATTAGATCCTGTACTTTGGTGTGGTTGTAATATTGCATGACAATTTTGACAGCAGTAGATTTTGTACGAAGAGCTGGTCTAATTTTTAGGGTGGTAAGGCAAAATCCAGTTAAAATACATAATTTCAAATTATTAATTTGAATTAAAAGGAAATATTAGTGAAATGCCAATGAAACAGTAACCGTTCTACCCAGGATATTTAAGTCTATTACTAATTCGGTTTTCTTCATCTTTAACGTCACTACTAATAGTGTGTTCAATTGCAAAAACAGCAAATTTTTGCCTGGATCTAAAGCACTTCAAACCAAAGCAATTGGTATAAAAGAATTATTTAAAATACAGACAAATTTTCTATCCGTAAATTTCACATGAAAAATTTCATGTGAAATTAAGGTGAATTGAGCTTTCTTATGAAAAATTTCACATTAAATTAACATGAATCTACATTAACATGAATTTAACAATAACAGAACATATTTTAGATAATTTTAATGCTCATCTAGTATACCTTCTCTCTTTTATAATATATAAATTTGAAATATAGTCTTCTTTTTGGTATTGAGCATGTGTTCATACTACCACTCTATATTTCTTTCTTGTTGTTCAAATTTCTTGGTCCTCAACAATACTAGTCATTCCTGTAAACTCCAACAAAAAATGTCTCCAATGCAACAAGAATGCACACGCTGCTTTACTATTCATGAATTATTTTATGTTGATAGTCCTAAGGATTAAGTTTTAGTACAAGTGTCACATAAACTTAACATTATCAATGATCCGTGAAAATGAGGCCAAGGTCAGATTAACCAAGCCAGAAAGACAAGCATAGCTGACAATCATTACAGACACCTAATATAGATTTGTTATTACTTATATAATGCAAGAAACAGACAAAACCATTAAAATTTAAAATTGACCAATGAACCATAACAAATGAGGTCAAGGTCATATGAACCCTGCCAGACAGACATGTACACCTTAAAATCATTTCATACACCAGATAAGGTTGACCAATTGCTTATAGTACTAGAAAAAACAGACCAAAACAAAAAAACTAAACACTAACCAATGAACTGTAAAAATGAGGTCAAGGTCAGATGAAACCTGCCAGACGGACATGTAAACCTTACAATCATTGCATACACCAAATAAAGTTGACTTACTGCTAAAAGTATCTAAGAAATGCAATTAATCATGTTACTTTAACCTTGAATATTGATCCGTGCAATGGGGCCGAAGTTAGGTCCTATTACAAATAGGAATGCGAGAAATTCACATAACAAAAAAGAAACTTATTTTCAAGCAGTCACTGAACCATGAAAATGAGGTCAAGGCCAACAGACATATGACAGACCTTCGTAATATTAGGCATATGTACACAAGGTATGAAGCCTCCAGGTCAATTACCATCTAAAATATAAAGCTCAATACAAATAGTTTTTGCCGCAGGATTGTTATCCCGATGTTTTGCATGTCATAGGAAAGACAATAAAACAATGTAGACAAGCAAATGTGTCACAGGTGTTACCGTGTAGAATTTCATTTACATCGATGACTCGCATGCTGGATGATAGTGGTATTATTGGTGATCAATTTTGAAACAAACAAATTACCTAATAATATGGAAAAAAGTCTTACTTGCAAAAGATAGAAATGAAATATGTTTTTATGAAAGTTTTGTTAATCGACTAATAATTTAATCTTCTGAAAATAGTTTACTCAAATATTCAAGTGCCTGTACCAAGCTAGGAACCTTCCTAATGGTTGTCTCATGTCAAAACTTTGTATTAAAAAAAAAATGTTATTTGGAAAATTCTGTGTTGATATAGTTTTTATTTATCTTATTCACAACTTTTATAGACTCCTGACAATTGAGAGCATGCTACATGTATAGTGTATGGAATGCATGTTGCCCTTGTGATGCTAGTTTGATGTTTTTGATCAATGAGTTGCTGTCGGATTCATATGCGTTTTTTGGGGGGCAGGGACCCAGCCCTCTTATGGAGCTACATAAATGGTTAATACATAGACTTTCTACATGTCCCAAACTATGGAATGACCTCAAAGTTTGTAAAAACTCTTGTTATTTCAATGATTTTACTAAATTTTCCATTTTGAGTCTTTATCTGTTATTTTCATACAATAATTTTCATTTGAATTGTATAATATTCTGATAGAGCTTGTGGTTGAAAAAATGTACACTCATGACAAGTTTATTCCAGGTTCTTTTAATCTCTTGAATACAACACTGTATGTTTGTTACATTGTAGTATTGTTTAAGAGTTCTATCCTGCATATAATTACTATTGGTAACCATGGATTCCGTCATACATTTGCATGGTATATCCTTATAAGATGTTGATACAATGATGAAATCCTGTTATGTATAAACTGCATCAGACTCTACGCATACTTCATACAGTTGCTGTAATGTACAAATAAAATTCAGGGTATAATTTGTGTAAAATAATCATTAAATACTACCTTACCAATCAGTGTTCTCACTAATGAATTTGTAAAGGTGAGTCCACATACTTAGCATTTCTGGCCTGTGCAAGGGTGAGATTAAGAAATTTTATTGCTTTATAATTTACCATTGCAGTCTCCATGAAAAAAATAGAACTAGGAAATTATTCTAAAAGGTGTATACCAATTCAACACTTAAACTAGATCTTTGAATATTTTTTTTATTGGTATAAACATTGATTTTGTTATCAGTAAATTAAAACCATACTTGATATTATTGTTATACACATATATTTTTTTTTTTAAATTCTGTATTTTACTGATAAATGGACTCATTCTTTAAGTCAACATTACACTTTTACACCGACAACAGCAATCGCAGGCAAGACACAGTGTTCCGCGGAACCCCTTACAATTTTTTCAAACTAGATATCCCAATGATGAATTATTGTTGCCATTTTTAATGAGATGTTAAGCAGATGGGATCCGAGATTCATATTATATGATAAAAAGATCATAACACAGTTTTTACAGACATCTTAAGTTACTCTGGTAAATGAAATTTTTATGCTGTGCACAATATAGACCCTGGCCATCGTCTGTAACTACAGTGAAGTGTTAGGTAGATTTTGTAATTTTTATCCTTTATATAAAAATAATCAGTGATTCATATAATGAGATTTTACACACACTGTATTAAAGGACTTAACAGAAGATGAATATGTATGATCTATTGACATATAAATTTCTACCCATTGATATATTACCTCCTAGAATTTGCACCCCATTGATATATTTAACACTCCAAAAAAATTGGCCCATACCGGCTGTAGCCTGTAGCTCTGGGTATACCTTCATATAGGACCCCGCCAACACCCCCCCCCCCCCCCCCCTCCACCATATCAAATGGTTGTCTCTTTAAATCTAAACTAACTCTGACCCTAAACTTACCATAACCATAAAAGAACATTTACCCTTACAGGGTTCCCTGTAAAAACTAAAAATACCCTACGTTTGAACACCATATTCAACTTCATGATCACCATACCATACTAACCAAATGTAATGTGAACTTCTTTGTTTTAAGTCGTAGTTCTTTACCTAAAATCTCCACTTTCCTTGATCTGTTGACAGTTCTCTTACTCAGTTCATAAATTGTCATCAAAATGAGTAGATTTTGAAGTTGTCGTCCGCAAAAGATTAAAACCGTTCTCATTGCGGGCTTCCGTTGACTTCTGCGACAATGGATTTTGTTTATCAAGTTAAATCAACAAAACAACAAAAAGTATTGTTGAAAATCTTCTGCCAGCGTCCTTCTCCTCATCATTATCTACATCTCAGAAGTGTTTTAAAAACCGACTCCGGACGCAAGATTTACGGATAGTGTCACGATGAAATCTTGTTCACCTTTTCATATGCTTTTAAGTATTCTTGAAAACTATAAGATAATTATATATAGAAGTACTGAAAAATTACAACAAATTTAAGCACTGAAAAATGACTGAAATTTTCAGTACTGAAAAATGACTGAAATTTACAGTACTGAAAAATGACTGAAATTTTCAGTACTGAAAAATGACTGAAATTTACAGTACTGAAAAATGACTGAAATTTTCAGTACTGAAAAATGACTGAAATTTTCGGTACACAAAACAACTTTTTCTCAACATTACTGAAAACATGTACATAATTAAATGTACTGAAAAGATATGGGTAAGAAATGTACTGATTGATTATATTTTTTACCATTACTGTATTATATGTAGTGGCATTAAACGTACATGTAAACGCTATGTAAATTCCTGGTAGTGTAGTAGGTTAGTCTCTATTCTGTAAACCCCATTTTACCCTCGTATAATGGCACCTAAATGTCTTTCGGTTATCTTTGTCGCTGGGTTGTTATCTCATTGTCGTATATCCACATAAGACCGTATAGATCGAGTGGGTTAACTTATTTCATTTAAATATTGATATATGTAGATGTAATATAAAATCGATGTTTGTGTTATTGTCATCTACTGATGTTTGTCCTTTTATTTTTAATTAGATAATTATTAGGAATTGAATGTTACTTACTTGGTTATTCCTGCTATTATCACTAAGTCATTATGGTTTGTAAAGTATAAAGAAATATGAAAACAATTAGTTTCTTTCAGCAGCTTAATTTACACAACCGATACAGGCATGACAGATGGTACACATAAAGATCAATCTAGAACAAATGATATAGGACATCGATTATAGGAGACTGCTATCAATCGGACGTCCTTTTGGTAATACATGACGTCACATTGAACGTCGTTTAGAGGTTTCAAATATTGGACACTGATTTGAGAATGTGACGTCACACTGGACGTCGATTTGAGGAAGGGACGTCGATAGAGGCCGAACGTCAATCTGAGTCTAACATATATATAACGTTAACGGTAAGAACGTTCTGCACATATACGGTGCTGTCATATACATGTTTATATATCATGCGTTGCAATGCAATCTGCTAAAGATAGATGATAATGTATGTGTGTATAAATCATCATTGCTCCATGTCTAAACGGCAAGTTAATAGTATATGCTAGGTGTATGGATATATACATTAGCTTTATATCAATTTATAGCGCAGCACTAAAAGTTAATGCCTTAAACTTTAAATATATGAAAAAGACTGGATAAATGCGTTCATCTGCATATCTATGTAGAATATGTTCAGTATTAAGGACATATTAAAGCACTATGCGATAATTACGTAAAACAAAAAAATTAAAAGTACTACCTAGAAAAATGTCCAAATAATTAATAGGTAGAGAGCCTCAATCACTATCAACTACACAAACTTTTTTATCGGCGTCTTTGTCAATTTACTATAGACTACACAAACGTTTTTATTGGCGTCTTTGAAAATTTACTTTTAACTACAACACTATTGTGCTGGCTTTTTTTTTTGTTAGATATATTTGTATGTTTGTTTGAACTTTTTAGTCAGTTGTGTTGTATATCTGTGATGTATGTTTACACAGTTAGGCTGCTAGATCATAAATACCGGCATATTAACCTACTATATATAAAATTAAGAAGATGTGGTATGACTATGTCTGTTTTGGGTTGCTTACCCAATTTTGTCAATATAACGGAACTATAAACAACTGTCATACAAGTGGGATGTTTAGCTAGCTATAAAATCAGGTCATTTCGGGGCCTTTTGTAGCAGACTATGCGATATGGAATTTGTTCATGGTTGAAGGCCGTACTGTGACCTATAGTATGTTTTCGACATATGGTTTACATAGGCAAAAAGGGGGGGGGGTCACACGTTAAACTGTTTGAACCCGATCACATTTGATGTCAGCATCATGTAATGATTATTTGTAATATAAATATTAGGAGTTGTGGTATGATTGCAAATAAGACAACTCTCAACCAGAGACGAAATGATGTACAAATAAGCAACTATAAATTACTCCATAATGAACATCCATTTTTTTTATAGCCAAATTTTCAAAATGAACAAATGAAACATTAGTGCATTGAACAAATATTGTCACAACAACAGACGGCAACATGTTCACAATAACACAATATAATTTGATGTTTTATACAGAATCAATACTTTTAATTGACCAATTATGGTGCCCATATCTGACAAATCTGTGATATATTGATGAGACTTGTAATTTGTATTAAATTAAATACAGTAAAGGAGTTAATCAAAATAAACAATATCAATGACAAAAGTTTAAAATGTAGTCTCTTAAATGATAAGGCGTTTGTGCTCGTGCTTGTGCTCGTGCATGTTCACACTATACGGACTTCATATACAGGAGTGTGCTCCTAACGCAGAAACTGCTCCAACAAAGTTATGAGGAGGACAGATTAAAAATGACACTCCGTAAATTTTACAGACACCATTACGAATTGGTCGACCCATACGATGTGTCTTTGTCCAAACTAACTAAGGACATTTTTACCATGTGTTACATTGTGGTTTAACATAACGTCGTCTGATCTTTTAATCACCGAGCGTGACTTATTCCCGATTGTGACTGTTTTGCTGAGTGTGAATTCGCATTGCTATAAGACGTGTCACGGTACTTTTCTATCCAAAATTCATGTATTTAGTTTTGATGTTATATTTGTTATTCTCATCGGATTTTGTCAAATGTCTTATCGTTTGTAGTTGTAAATCTTATTTTTTTCTGTTGTATTCGTTTTATGGTAAAGATGATTAATCACCCAGTTCATTAATTAGATTTTAGTTTGGGTCAACTAAATTTATACGATATATTTGGTTTACAGTTTGATTTAGAAGAAACACCGACATAGCTAGATAATACTATTAATTATCTAATTACTACCACATTTTATATTAATTAGTATTGTAATTTTCATTGTTATTAATAAATGTTATACGAGTATTATAAACCAAATCTTGAATTCTATCCTAATTCTATCCTATTTTGGGGAAATTTCAGAAAAACTTTTTTTGAATTGATCTCTTTGGCTAACTCGGCTGTGAATTTTTATGTGCTGGTTTATGTTGTTTTATGTATCCGTTTTTATTCTGCAGTTAGTCACCACTTCGGTGTTATCATGTATATCTATTATATAGTCATTTTTACTGTTTGCAAAAGTATGAAATATTCTAAATACTCAAGATGTTCTCATCCCAGACATATAACTTTAGCCGCATTTGCCACAACTTTTTGGAACTTTTGGTCCTCAATGCTCTTCAACTTTGTACTTGTTTGGGCTTTCAAACTTTTTTTATCTGAGCGTCACTGGTTAGTCTTGTGTGGACGAAACGCGCGTCTTGCGTATTAAATTTTAAACCTGGTACCTTTTGTTAGCTATTATTCGTATGTTTCTCTGTCCTATATGTTCTCCTATTTATTTGTATTGTAGTCCTGTCATGTAATGTTGTCATTTTAATGTTATATTTAACATTGCCATAAAAGCGGGAGGTTTGGCATGCCACAAAACAAGGTTCAACCCACTATTTTTTTTCTTCAAATATCCTGAACCAAGTCAGGAAAATGGCCATTGTTATATTATAGTTCGTTTCTGTGTGTGTTACATTTTAATGTTGTGTTTCTGTTGTGTCGTAGTTCTCCTCTTATATTTGATGTGTTTCCCTCAATTTTAGTTTGTAACCCGGATTTGTTTTTTTCTCAATCGATTTATGAATTTCGAACAGCGGTATACTACTGTTGCCTTTATTTGGAGCAACCAAGTCAAAAACAACATCGCAACCGCAAACAAATATCCAACCAACAAACACTTTAAACTCGTAACGACAAACACCTTCAACTTTCAACAACAATACACTATCACGTCGATAATAACTAATTCCACGTGTCTTGTTGTATTGAAAACTCTTTCAGGGTTTTTTTTTACAATTTCAATTAGAAAAAAACAAATCCAAGACTATATATTATTTACGTTATCTAATATAATAGAATGTTCTTACCGTATACATGGTATAGTTAGGCGAATTGTAAATATTTATTTATAGAAGTTTTATTTTCAAAACAGTATCAAATTACATTCGTGGTTCAATACAAAGGTCAAATGAAATTTAAAAAAAATGCTTTGACGTACTACAAGTAAACACTCAATGTTTGTATTGAAAGGATAGGATATAGTGGAAGGTGGGTAAGGTTGTCCTCCGAGAGAATTTTCTCTGCTAATTATATGAAAAAAAAGGCAATAGTAGTATACCGCTGTTCGAAGCTCATAAATCGATAGAGATAAAAACACCTAGCATACATTTGGTGGATGAAAGACAATCAGATGAAAGATCAGACAACGGCCTGATTTTATCAATACAAAAACACAGAAAAACAATTTAAATAGACAGTGTTATGAGATTGTAATTATTATTGTCTTTTGTTGGCTACAATTTAAAGGTGATATCTGGCTGTAACAACAGCAACTAACGACAACATAAGAAAAAATACAAAAATCAGCTATGCCGTGTTATCATGAATAATAGAAAAAATTCCTAAGCTTCTGATTATTTGAAATAAAAAAAAACTTACATTCATGTCTTTTGGTCTCTAAGTATAAAGTAAAATCACAAAAAAAAACTGAACTCAGAAGAAAATTCAAAAAGTAAGTCCGTAATCAAATTCCAAAATCAAAAGTATGCCACATCTTCTTTTATACTAATCATTCAATCTTTTCTGTCTAATGTTGATCTAATATATTAATCGAGAATTTAAAACGTAAAAGGTTTTGCATTAACAATGATGAGCTTAAAAATAAAAGTAATGACTATACATGGGAATGTAATGCTAAATTGGGAGAGTGTACAGTACATAATTGTTTTCAGGTCAGATAATACATTTTGATATACACAAATTAGAAGCAATAGTTTAACAAAACTTTATTGTTAATTATTCTAAAAAATTGCTCCTAAAAACAAAACCAAATAGCAAATATCATTGACCTGTCATGCATTATAACTGAAGAATAAATCCCAAAAAATAAACGTTGCAGTACCCTTACCGAAAAATAAGCCCTGTGGCAAACATTTGCCGCAAGTTTGCAGCAAACATTTGCTGCAAACTTGCCGCAACCATTTTACCATGCAAATGAAGGTTGCGGCAAGCTTGCTGCAAACATAATTATGTAAATTAGATTTGCCGCAAACTTGCCGCAATTGTTTGCTGCAAACTTGCGGCAATTGTTTTCTACAAACTTGCGGCTAACTTGCAGGAACTACACATATACCAATGCCATGTGTGTAGACACATTCAATTTATCTCTTTCAAATTACACATCAAAATTTTAAAAAAGAACTTCCTGCCTGTATACAAACACTGTCATTGAAAGAATACTTGCACACTTATGAGATTAAAGGAAATACATACATGCATTTCATTTTTGAAAAAGGGAGCGGGGGTCATTCTTAAATGACATCATATACCGGTATTAAGAAATAAAAAAGGATAGATCTCTAATGTGTATTGATCATAAAGCTTTTTTAAGGTAATAATTCCATTACAGAATTGAACTTAACTTTATTAAACAGTATACATTTAATCAATTACAAAATTCAAACTTATAATAGCTAGAGTATTTCAAACACATAGTTGTTATGCTGGTGACTTTAATTATTTTATTAAACCAGTTTTATGAATAATTTGTACTTACAAAACTACATACTGAATATCCTATATTATTGAACCAAAATGCCTCCTTGATCTCTTATATGTAACATGTATCAAACACAATCAACATGACCTAGCCCACAATTTCAAATTGTTAGCTTTTCAGGAAGTGCCAACTAGGCATGCCCAGTCAATATTGTGTAATTCTTGCAATGTTCTGGCAAACATATAGAATGGTCAAAGTTTTCTGCAATTTTGCGGCAAACATATAGAATGGTCAAAGTTTTCTGCAATCTTGCGGCAAACATTCTTTATTATCTAAACTTTCTTGCAATCTTACTGCAAACATTAATGTTTCTGTAAACTTGCCGCTAGCTTGCAGCAAAAAGCTGCAATGTTTGCGGGAAGTTTGCAGCAAGCGGCAAACATCTGCAAACACTATTTTCTGTGTTCCTGCAAACTTTTTGTTTGCCGCAAACTTGCAGCAAGTCTGCTGCAAATTTGCAGCAAACATTTCAGTTCTATAAGGGTACATAATTGTTTTCAGGTCAGATAATACATTTTGATATACACAAATTAGAAGCAATGGTTTAACAAAACGTTATTGTTAATTATTCTAAAAAATTACTCCAAAAAAACAAAACCAAATAGCAAATATTATTGACCTGTCATGCATTATTACTGAAGAATAAATCCCAAAAAATAAACTTTGCCTTACAAATCGAGTGTTATAATAGGGTCACACACATAAAACGAACATACTAAAGAGGACTTCAATAAACTTTAGTCAAAATAGAAACTAAATAGCCATGAATAAAGATACACGATGAAAAAACAATTTTCGTTTAAAAAATATTATACAGAAGATAGACACATAGCAAACCAAATCCCACCATAAATTACGGGAGATGCTGATGTTCTGTAAGGATCCTACTTTACTATCATCTCATATGCTGCTACTCGAACAGGTAAATATCCAGAAAAAGCCGACGAACCTTGTCTGACAGACATGTTAATCTTGCAATAAAAAAATCAATGCGATTCCCTTTAGTTTTTGTTTGTTACCTTGATTTGACTTTTTCGAATCGATTGACGCAGTTTGAACATCGGTAAACTATTGTTTCCTTGATTGACGTGTTAAATAAATGTTTACCATTGAGTACTGAGAGTCGAGAGTCTAGAGTTTAGACATTTCAATAGAGGATCGTCTCAAAAGTACCAATCTCATTATTAATTGACTCAGTACATTAATAGCTTTTATAACATTGCTTTTTATCTGCTTGCATGGTTGGTTGGTTAATAATATATATAATATGAAGTAACAAGTTCTGCATATCAAGGGGTTGATTGTTCGGTGTATTAATATGATTGATTGATTGACTGTTTGCATAACGTGAAGAGACGCATATTTCATTTTGACCAATTCATTAAATCGATTGTGTAACATCCAGTTACAAGTATTGAACGAACATTCGTTACTCAAAGAGACAAGTTAAATGGCCACCTCCTACAAAAAAGAAACAGGACGGGGACCACTTCTTTGACTAAAAATACACGGAGATGGGCCTTAAGGAAAATACAAGAAAATTTTCAGATTCTTATACATGTTGTAGAAACGTAATACAACAAAAAAACAAAAGTTTAGATCCAGGTCAGATTTTAATTGCATTTGAAACTAATATGCACACACATAAATAAAACATAGATTTCGAGGAGCCCTAGAAACAAATTTATAAAGCAAGCGTCAAGGATATATTTTGAGTGTTAATCCTTGTATGTTCATATTGAAATTTAAACAGAAAGTTGCAGGGATATGTTTTGGAAATGAAAAAAGAGATTGATCAAGGCTCTACCTCTTTTTTCCTCTTGTCAATCAATCAACATGTCAATCAATCAACTTATCTACCAACCAGGCAAATCAACCGGTCTTTATGGCGACATTGCCACTTCATGTTTCGCACACATTTTATCAACGTACGATCTAACAAACTAATAATCCTATCTGAAAAGGTGAATAGAACTTTGAATTCATTCACAACGTTTTTGTATTTATTCGAAAAAATTAAAAATAACAAAAATACCGAACTCCAAGGAAAATTCCAAACGGAAAGTCCCTTATCAAAGGAAAAAATAAAAAGCTCAAACACATCAAACGAATGGAAAACAACTGTCCTATTCCTGACTTGGTACAGGCATTTCCTTATGTAAAAAATGGTGGATTAAACCTGGTTTTATAGCTTGCTAAATCTCTCGCTTGCATGACAGTCACATAGAATTCCATTACATCGAAGAGATGATAAAAAAGGTATAAGTGTGTCCAGTAAAACAATAATTAAACTAATACTTTGATTCTCGACTCTCGATTGTTAACAATAAACATAAATCTTACATGTCTAAAAAAAAGTAAAATGACAAAAATACCGAACTCCTAGGAAAATTAAAAAAAGTCCCTTATCAAATGGCAAAATCAAAAGCTCAAACACATCAAACGAATGGAAAACAGCTGTCATATTCCTGACTTGGTACAGGCATTTCCTTATGTAGAAAATGGTTGATTGAACCTAGTTTTATAGCTAGCTAAAACCTTTCACTTGTATGAGAGTCATATAAACAAACAGACATAATAGGTAAAAATGTCAAAAATTGGGGAACAGCAGTCAACATTGTTTTATACTATTAATCACTATAAGTAAAATAACTATTTCCACAAAGAATTAGGAAATGGCATATAGACACTCTATAGACAAAGTGCATAAGTAAAAATGAAAGACAAGAATACAAAAATCACCATAGCACAACAACACAATGGCGGGATGTATAAATACCTAGCCACGCCAAAAGTATATACCAAAAATGGACAAAACAGTAAAGGTTAAAAATTTACAAAGACAAATAAAAATAACACTTAAACAAGTAATTAAGATGATAAACAAAGTCAGTACCTAGAATCTATACTTATATATAAGACCATCATATATTATTTGTGAAGTTGATACGGAATGTTTATCAGCAAAGTCTTGGTATCTTCCGATGAATTTTTTTAGAAAAAGGATGAGACGTTCTTTGACACAAGCCTGGTTCATCAACTTTCTGCTCAGACATTGGTGACGTTTTATAAAGTCTGAGTATACCTAACAAGGTTGTCATATTTTCATTATAGATGCTATCAGATAACAACAGTTTTAACAAACATTAAACCATAAAAATGAAATCAAGGGCAACGGACATATTTCAAATAAACATTTCAAATCATAAGGCATTTGTATAACATATATGTATCGAGCTCTTTCAGGCAATATGGGTGACAGATTAGGATCCATATTTCTAACGTTTTGCCCCTTTAGTCACAGGCGAGATAACAATGGGATAATGCCAAAAGAATGTTGTAAGAAATAATAATCAAACAAGAAAGGGGCAGAAAATACCAAGGGGATATTCATACTCCTACATGGAAGAGAAACTGATAACGCCATGGCAAAAGACTGAAAAAGACCAAAAAAGTCCATGAAACACTACCTACTAGACTGAGCAACAAAAAAACGTCAAAAACCGGGGTTGGACTCACGCGTTCCGGAAGAATGAATAATTCCTGTTTTATATAGAGCATCCGCCGTGTTGACAAAGCCAGAAATAAGTCTCATTCTGTGATGTCCCAATCAAGGAAAAGAGAACGGAATTGTGGTTACGACGGGTAGCAACATATCCATGGTTACCATTGACAAAGATATTTCATAACTGCCATTCAACACGTGATGGGGTCCGTCAATATTTTTAAGGAATTATTGGTTCAATAGATTCTTATAAGCAGCAATCCTCACTTTAAGACATCATGATACGAAACGCAAACTCTTGAATGTCCTATCAACTGGGAAATTAATACTCCGTATGCTGACGCTGATGGACTCTTGCTACATTGAAATGAAAAGTTCACAATTAGGAAACTGAATTCACACAAGGCATTTTTAAGATTTCGTTTTATTTTCGTTTTAGGAATTTTCTTCTTTAACACTTAAGCCACAAAGTTTTAATAAATTTACAAAACGGACAGAGTTATTACTTGTCCATATGACTAATTTTAAAGTTTTTTGTTGAAATTTGTTTTATGTTGATGGTATTTTGAGTGAGCATTTTTGATATAATTATTGAATTATCAATACATAATTTTCTAATCTTTGCTTTTCAAAAATATTCATTTCAGTTGCATTTCAATATGCAGATTCAAATGACAAATATATTCTCCAACAGTCTACATAAATGAGAGGCGAAAGATATCAAAGGGACATTCAAAAACATAAGTCGAAAATAAACTGACAAAACCATGGCTGAAAAAGAAAAGACCAAAAGACAAACAACAGTACACAAAATACAACACAGAAAACTACAAAAGAAAAGATTAAAATCAAATATATCCCCTTTTTTGTTGAATAGATATGGTTAATGCAAGCCTGAATTATAACTATTGTTAATGTTAGCTAAATATATCACAGAGAATTATGTCAATATTCATTTCCAATTACCGATGGTTAATGCAATGATACTGCATCTTAAGGTATATAGTATTATTATTTATCAAATAACTCATAACTAAACGTGTCTTCTTAAATAAAGAGAAAATGAATTTTGAACAAAATATTACTTCTATTTCACATTTTTCAGATAAGTTCTCTTTGACTTATATAAAATTATCCTAGCTTTACCTTGATTTATGATCTATTCACCGCACGCAGGTAAGGGGAATATATAAATAAAAGTTATATGAATACAGGTATACTAAAGGATTTACAGAGGAAAGAGTAAGGAGTATTAAACATTTGTCAGGATAAATACTCAAATCTAAAGAAAAGGTAAGTGTTTTAATTTTTGTTCAATAGTACTTGATGTAGTTGAACAAATGTTGATATTGAATTTCAAAAAACCAAGATCAATCATAATAAACTCATCATCGATACAAGGAGTAAATTTTTTCATACTTTTTCTTGCAGTCCATCCAAAACTGAATTACAGCTTATGTTAGTAAGAATTTTGTTATCCCTCCAATGGTTTGTCAAGTTTATCTATTAAATTCTGTGAACAGTGGGGTGTACCTGCAGTTATGCAAAATTTAAACCAAAAGCAGAAAGAAACACAATACCCTAGATTGAAACAAATACTGACTGTATGTGAGCCAAAATAGTGTAGTATTCGCTGAGCATCATAATAACCTCATCCCGAAATATACTAACAGCTATGAAAAGACACAGTTTATCAATAGTGTTTAAAAAAATGCTGCATAATAACATGCAAGAACTGTTCAAACACATGACCCAAATTTGCTGCAAATATTAGCTGTAAAAGGTAACACTGGTCCCATTTTGGTATAACATGCCTTTCATTTAAACAACGTCAAGAACTAGATATTTATTAAATTGTACGTATACGGGACAATAACATATTGAATCACTCTGAATAAGACGACTAGTTTTAAATATCGATGAATGGTATAATGACATTACTTTGACTGTAATTGAAATCTGAGAAATTTCAATTGACAAAACAAAACAAATTTGTAAATCTGTAATAGTCTACGTTTACCCTCATGCAGCAATAGTTTTCATTACTAAATTAACAAATCTTTTTTAACAAATTGCGTTATACATGAGTCCAGCTTCTATGTGTTACAAATTTTTTTTCTTGAAGTTTACTTTTATATCTTGCAGATATCATCATGAGTAGAATTATACTGAAGCCACCGTACGTTCATATGTCTGATCCAATATTGACAACGATCTTAGAAATAGACACAACATAAAAACACAAAGATGTCTAGAAATAACTTTCACTGGCAAATGCAAAATATATATATTTATATATCTATATATATATATATATATATAAGTCTGAAAATTACACCCAACAGTGTTAGAATTAGACTTTTATGCTGACAAATTTTTGTCCCTCAACGGGATTCGAACTCACACCTTTGATACACTACAGCACCAATCGCTTAGCCTCATGTCCAGCGCTCTAGACCACACGACCACATCCGCTATATTAAAATATAACTTCAATAGTCGTAGTGTTACCTTGTCACGTAAGGCGAATCTAGAGATAGACATAAGACATGTGTTTTAAGCGTGTGAAGATGTTATATTATTATTAAATACACAATGTATTTGTTATTTGTCAGCAATCTAACTCAACAATATATATATATATAAACAAGTCTAAATTGAAAACAACGTTCAAACCTATGATTGCGTTGGATAAAAACCGCAATTTTTATACGTGTGCATGCAAAACAAATGTCTTGGTAGAGTGGTCTAAATACAGCACAAACAACATATATATATATATAAAACATATAACTGAATAATTGATAACCTGAAAAATATGGCAATATTTCCTGGAATCAACCAGTTAAATAATAAAAGAGGGATGGCCAAGTCAAGGACAAAAACCTCTCTTGAGTGTAAAGCAAATGATATTCTCCTTACACCAGAAAACATTTAATATATCAAAGATACATTTAGAGAGTTTAAGATGAACCTTCGCTGGTTAGAAGTTAGGAATTCGGGAGAGAAAAAGAGAAAAGTGTTAAGTGACATGAAGATAAAAATGGAAAATATTATTCTGTTTCCAGATAGCCATACCCTACCAGAATATTAACAGATTTTAAATTGCGATTATCCAATTCCAACACTTTTGTTTTGTGTAGTTATTGATCATATACTCGTTACATCAGGGCAGGAAAATAGCACGCATATTTTAGATATAATACCTTTAATACTACAGAGACAGAGAATGAATCATTATTCATTTTTCCATTATTACCTTGACATGTATTTTATGTATGCCATAAAAGCGGGAGGTTTGGCATGCCACAAATCCAGGTTCAACCCACCATTTTTGTCTTAAAATGTCCTGTACCAAGTCAGGAAAATGGCCATTGTTATATTATAGTTCGTTTCTGTGTGTGTTACATTTTAATGTTGTGTTTTTGTTGTGTCGTTGTTCTCCTCTTATATTTGATGCGTTTCCCTCAGTTTTAGTTTGTAACACGGATTTGTTTTTATCTCTATCGATTTATGAGTTTCGAACAGCGGTATACTACTGTTGCCTTTATTTAAAGACATACCAAATGAAATCTTTACCAATATTCATTCTATCTGGAAATCAGCTCCTTCAACTGAACTTCAATTGAAACTGACTTACTGTGAAAGATTAATGGAAGCTAAACATTATAAAATTATTTTACAGCTCATTCATCGTAATGTTGATTACTTTATAAATAGTATTGAAGCGACAGAATTTGAAATGAGTATAAAATCTAAAACAATAATAGTGGTATTGTTACATATTTTACAACATCAAGTGTCTATAAGCAAGATTGAAAAACTGCAATCAATTCAAACAATACTATCTAGAATACTTAACACAAACCCTGCTGAAAGAGTTCTATTCAGGGGATTTTATAACTACATACTGACACTGGGCAACAAACAAATGCAATGTATTCCAAATTTAATCAATTTATTACAGCCTGCATATTTTCTGTGATGATGATTTAGGTTTGATGGTGATGATCATCCGTGCCGGTAGCAATAATATTTTATGAAGGTACTAGAAATCTGTTAGACCTTTTAATAAAATCTTGAACATGTTTGAAAATTAGGAGATTTTGTTCATTCGAAAGTTCAAGGTCTCCGCAAGTTAATAGTTTAGTATCAATAATAAAGTTTTCAGTAAGCCAATTAAGATTGTTAAGTAAAATTTCTCTACATGTAGTGTATTTTGGGCAAACTAAAAGAAAATGATGAACATCCTCAATATCAGACCCACACTGACACGAAGGATCCAGTATAATGTTAGCTTTGAAAAGGTCAGAGTTTGAAAATGAAGCGGAACATCGCAATTGAGTTAAAATAATATTCAGTTTCCTTGGACAGTACATATAATACGGCGCAACTCTACTCTGGACACTTTCAAGTTTTTCAATTTTTAAGTCAAGCTAATTCCATTCTCGTATAGTGGATGGAATAAAGATTCAGTGGTAAGGGAAAGTCTACAAAATGGAACAATGATATTTTGACCGTTTCGCAACGGATAGTTGGTTGTACTTTGTATACATGGGGGACAAGATTACACAGGTACTCAGGTGAATGTTTTTTATTTATATTATAAAACATCTGTAATTTTCTTTTTCTTCGTCTTTCTTATAAAGATTCCCAGCCAACCTCAGAGTACAGAGTATCAGTTTTAGTGAATATTGGTAGACCTGTTACAATGCTTGCGGCTTCCAATTGCAAGTTTTTTAATTTATTTGAATAATATCCCACAATTATCCCACACTTCCGTGGCATATTCAAAAATGAGTTTAATAAAAACTAGATAAAGTTTTTCTAAATTATTACGAGACAGTCGATATTTAAGTTTACGCAGAACATTAAGGTGTTTCTTTACACTTGTAATTATACTTTCAATATGATTGTTCCATTTTGCGTCACAACTAAAGGTAACTCCAAGGTGCTTATGCGAGGTATTTATAGGGATAGTTTTATCATTTAGGAAAAAGTTGAGATCTGGTTTCTCAATATTTGAAAATATCATAATTTCTGTTTTATCAGGATTAAATGACATAAGCCATTTAGTTGACCAAACATCCAGCTCTTTCAGGTCGTGGTCGATCACAGATTTAATCTGTTCACCATCGCTACCGGAATAACTGAATGAAGTGTCGTCTGCAAATAGCCTACACAGCGATGTAAGCTTATCAGCAATATCATTAATATATAAAACAAAGAGAAGTGGGCCCAAAACAGATCCCTGGGGTAAACCTGCTGACACATTACAAAAGGAGGAGGACGAATTATGCAGTACTACTCTTTGTTTCCTGTCATGCAGATAATCTTCAAACCACTGTAATAAGGTTCCATCAATACCATAGGCTTACAGTTTGTGAATAAGACCTATATGCCAAACTTTGTCAAAAGCTTTAGAGAAATCACAGAATACAAAACAGTTTATTTCTTTTTTTTCCAAGGAGTTTAAGATGCAGTTGTATATTTCTAAAAGTTGATGAACAGTTGAGTTTTTGGGAAGAAATCCGGATTGATATTCATATATTAATTTGTTAGCATGTAGATGATTATACAAGTGCTTAAAAACAACTCTTTCCATTACTTTTCCAACACAACTAATAAGAGAAATTGGTCTGTAATTTGAAGTCAAGGATGAATCCCCTTTTTTAAAATAGGTATTAAATTAGCTATTTTCCAAATGGTTGGATATTTGCCTCCTCGTAAAGATTTATTAAATATAATATTGAGTGGAACTGCTACCTTTTCTGGTCACAACTTAAGCATTTTATGGCTGATCACATCAAGGCCTGATGCCTTGTTTGGATCTTATATCTGAATAATATCTATGATTTCTTCTGTATCTATTTGGATATTTGCCTTCTCGTAAAGATTTATTGAATATAATGTTTAGCGGAACTGCAACCTTTTCCGGACACAACTTAAGCATTTTATGGCTGATCATATCAAGGCCTGATGCCTTGTTTGGATCTAATATCTGGATAATATCTATGATTTCTTGTGTATTTATTTTGATTTTCGAAAATTTACTATCAGTTTTTGTTTTAAATTCGGGTAAATTTACATGTTCTCCATCAAGTTTTGAATCATACTAAAATATTTGTTTAATAAGCTGCATTTTTCCTCATCTTCATATACGACATCATTTAGTCCATTGTCATTTATAATATTTTGGAGAGGGGGTATGTTTTCCAAATTTTTATTTGATTTAATCAACATTTTCATAAGTTTCCAATACGTTTTTGAGTTCGGGGAGTTTTCTAGTATAATACTGTCCAAATTTGTTTCAAACTTTTCTTTGGCTATTTTTCATATTATTTACTTTATTTCTCTGTTGCTTGTACCTCAAAATATCGTTTTCAATCTTGGATTTAACTGCCTTTTTTCTTAATAGGTCTCGAATTCGAGTTTCTCGTCTTATGTCGTTATTGAAACAGTATTTGTCGTTATGTCTTACAGTTATTAGTTTAGTAGGGATACACTCTTTGGCTATTTTCAGAAATTTTATTGTAAATATTTCACACAACTCGTTGATGTTTTTAGTGTCCGGAAGCACTGTGTTCCAGTCTATTTCGTCTAACTTCTCCGCAAATTTTGATTTATTAGCCCTATCATAAAGCCATATTTCTCTTTTAAAAGATTTAAAACCGGACATTGGACATTCGAGAAATGCAATAGGTGCATCATGATCACTAATATCGGATGGGGTTATTAGAACATTAGAAAAGAAACATGTCATAGAGTCACTTATTATAATCGGATCCATCAAAGTGCTACTATGGTCTGTTATTCTTGTAGGTAACTTAATTACAATGGTTAGATTGAACAAATTTAATGTGTCAATCAGTTTGTTGTTGTGCGCTGTAAGTAAGTCAGAGTTCAAATCGCCCGTAATAACCATCCTCTCATTGACCTGTAATCCCATTCCAATTGCATGATTTAAACGTGTCCAGTAGTTATTATCTGAATTAGGCGATCGATAAGTGTGACATAATAAAAATGTTTGGCCTTTAACATGGATATTTACAAAAAGGGATTCATCGTCTATTGTTTCGAGTGCATAAATGCTATTTCTATCTTTTCTTACGATATTTGAAGAGAAAGAGTCTAGTTGTATGTTGTCATCAGCGATGTTGGGATCTAAGTGCGTTTCTGTCAATGTTACAATATCAAATTCGTCACAAAAATTATTTAGAAATGCTAGTTTATTTCTGACGGGTCTAATATTCAGACTACAAATGGAAATAAAATTTCTGATGTATTTGTGTCGTTAAATGACGGTGTATTCGATTCGTTACCAAGATTTGGACCTGGGTTTGTTTCAACATTTCCAATTATGAGGATAAAATGAAGTACATACAACAAAAAATAATGTCTGATCTTGGACTTACTGTTTGTAAAACCGAGAGATTGAAGACGAGGAAACTGCAGCGTAAGTTAGTAAAACGTATACCTGAATAGGAATCAATTTTTATACGTGCTAAAGGTTCACAGTATTTTCTTCTGTTATTAAATATCCCTACAGCAGCCCTGTAATCTCGAACGCATCATCTTCACAGGAAAACACAACAAAATAAAACAAAAAAGATACAAAAAATAATTTGGACAGTATAAAAGCATGAGAAGAGAGTCTGGTATATATGGAAGTCATGATCGTTGAATGAAAATGGGATTCTGTGATATTGAAAAAATTTAATATTAAACTTACAGGGAAAAACTAGACAAAAAAAATTAAATTGGAACTGTCATGATATTAAATAAGGCACTTAGTATGAATGCCAATGAGAAAACTATACACGATAGAGTTCAAACTATTAGACTTGGAAGTAAACAAGTTTTGGATTACAAGTTTGGTAGCCAGAACACATATTTAATTAGCCAGAGGGATGGAATATAGACGTTTCTTTAAAATCTATCGTTATTTTTTGTAGTTTTATAGCTATCATTGTTGTTATCAGTATTAACTAAAACTTCCATATATGCTATTGGTTTTACATCTAAATCAAACATTACAAAAAACAGCAAAGACAATAAACATTAAAGTACAAATTACCACAGCATACACAATAAACATATACATTGACAACCGAACAGGAATACAATACAAAAGGTCAAGGCAAATGGCTCATATAATATTGACAAATTGTTATGCTTGAGAGAATAACAAATTTCATCTTGCACTACAGCTGTTCTTTACGTTTTGTTTTTTTATTCATTCTCAAATTATGCATTTATTAAATACTGATACACTGCTTTGGTGAGCTATCCGTCGATAGGTATTTAAATTAATCATTTGTGTAGAGTTCGGTACGATTATTTACTGGATTTCGACAGTGTACACCAATATATTACATGTTGTTGACTATCTGACTATTGTACTGGTTGTATATGAACTATAAATAAAAGAAGATTGGACGGAAAAATAATAGAAAATAAGGAGATAACATTTACAAGATTCGATTATGTCCTGTACATTTGGTAATTTTAATATATGTACTTGTTACGTACATAAATGTTTGATTTAATTTTTTTTAAACTGTATACGGCGCCATCGCCATACTATTAGCATGAATTTTACCATACTAAGATAGCCATTAATAATACAAATGAGAAACTTCAATACCATGTTGAAAGTCAAAATAAGTAATAACTGATCTTATTTCATAAGGTTATCAAACAGTTTTAAACGAATTTAACACCTTTGGTTAGCACATATGATACTTATAAGGAAACGTGAAACAATGCAAAACAAATAAGAAGTGAGTTTATTAAAGTTTATGAAAAGTTGATGAGATCCTGCACTCTAGTCTCCGGAGTTATTTGAGTTTGTGCTGTCTTCACCTTGGCGGATTGCTGCCTCAAGATCAGAAATATCTTGGAGATCGTTGATTATTCGTTTATTACTGTTTGCAGTCAGTTTGACAAAGATTCGACCGTCCATGGTCCAGTATGTATTGACTTTATTGTTAAATTTTAGAGCGGCTAATTTGTTGACGAGGTTTGTCCTAAATTGGGGCAAGTTTTCTGTAATAAAGGTACCATTTGGATCACCTTTTAGAGCCTTTTTGTTTGAGAATACCAATTGTCTAGTTCTGTAGGAAATGAATCGTACAATCACTTGAGACTTTCCTTGTTTGACTTTGCCAATGACGTGTGATCTTCCTATGTCTTGGATACCAATATCAAGTTTGAGTTTGTTTTTACATATATCCAATATGATGTTGTCCGTATCGACAGGATGTACAATTTTACCTCCACTGAGTCGGTCTACAGGAATAGGAATATTATCGAAGCGAAGACTTGTCCTTCTAGAGTACTGTTCTTGAATTTCAAGTCTGTTCTCTAGTTCTGCAACCCTGTTATAAAGGAAGTTGACATCTTTGTCTCGTTCTTTGTTTGATGTTACTTGATCTTTAGTGGTGCTTTGTAAGGCTGAAAGTTGGATGAATTGCATAGTGATTTGTTGCTGTTGTTTTTCAATTGTTTCATTCTGACTGTCGATTTTGTGTAAAAGTCCATTTCGTCCATAACACATTTTTGACCTCCGTTTGTATAATTGGCACCAAGATTTCACATATTTGTTTTGACAAAATAGGCATAATAGTGTTTATGACCTCTGGACTGCATAGGGTCTCCAGGACTCTATCAGCAACAGACTTTCTAAGTGAAGCCGCTTTTTGGGGAATATCTAAATCAGTAAGATCGCCTAACGAATTGCCTCGCCTTCGTAGCTGTCTTTTTTTCCGCTGTTTAAGTGTCGCTGGGAGGGTATCGGGGCTGTCTGGATGGGGTCTCTTGTTACAAATAGACTCGTGTGTGGTTATTGTAAGACCTGGTTGAGAGCAAGTTACCCAAATATCATCTGGCAAGTCATTGTTTACATTTATGGGGGACGCCATATTGTTTTCACTCATTACAAAATCTGCACCAAGCTAAGCTCAGTAAAATATAATGTTTACATCAAAATTTGTTCACTGATTTTCAGTTCAGATAAACATTACAGTATTCAGGAATGAAATAAATGACGGTTTTCAGGAAAAATAATGCGTTATCCATCAATTATATCCCATTTTCGAGGACAGTTCGTTTACCCTACCATATCAATTGACGCATGCCCACATTTACTGTGGTGTTCAGGTGATGTAGAGTTCAATCCTGGACCCACTCTTCATACACTGAAGAGGTTACCAGATTCAGTGAAAGAAAGGAATTGAATCTATGAATTGTGCTCAATACTACTTAGACTTTTAAAATATCAATCTATTGATTTTAAAAATGATGGTCTCTGGAAAGAAAAACAACTTCACTGGCCTACTGACTGGTCCTTTTATGATTCAAGAAATAAATCAACGGGCTAAGGATACAATGCTGATAAGAAATTGTTAGAATGCTTAGAAGAACACTGTAATGGAAAATGGTAGCATACGCTATAATTTATTACTTTGGGATACCATACGGCATATTTTGTTAATAGTGAACAAAAAGGTAAAACATGCTACAAAGAGGAACAAGTGATCAGTATGCTGGAGTTTCTTATCGACAACATATTTGTTGAATTTGGAGGTAGACTATTTCAACAATTTGTCGGCATTCCTATAGGAACGAACTTGCGCCTCTCCTTTCCGACCTCTTCTTATTTTCATATGAGTCGGAGTTCCTTCTGACACTTGTCAAAAACAGGAAGATTTAAGAAGCCAGATCATTTAATTTCACATTCAGATATATTGATGATGTTCTTTCCATTAACAATCCAAACTTTTCTGATTGAGTTCCATTAATATATCCTTCAGAACTAGATATTAAAGAAACAACAGACACGGCTTCCTCTGTCTCTTTTTAATTATACCTCGAATTTGACATAAGCGGTCATCTCAGTACCAGAATCTATGACAAACGATACGATTTTAATTTTGAAATTATCAATTTCCCCCACCTAAGTAGCGCTAGCAATATACCAACTTCACCTGCATACGGGATATACATTCCCCAATTAAAATGGTCTTTTTGTCATACATTCTGGTACTGAGATGACCGCCTATGTCAAATTCGAGGTATAAGTCAATGTAATGTTCATTGAAGCCAAAGTCTCATCCATATCAAATGATATGTTTTTGTATCTGGGATTATCTGAGTGCTCATTTATTCCTTATTCTTTTTTACAAGACACTCGTAGTGGTACGATTTACATACAAAAACAATATTATCTGAAGCTTTGTCCGCAGAAACAACAACAGATTTATCTTGAAGAGATGATAGACATTTCACAGCTTCTTTGTCTCTGAAAACGGACTTCGGTCGATCATTCACACAGTTTTTCATCCAATGAATTGTACGTTTTATCAGAGACCTGATTGTTTTGAACCATTCTGACAAAGTGTCCAGTTCAACTTCTTCTCGTTTAGCCAATTCTCTGGCGTAGTCTTCAACAGAATCCATTATTATTTTGAAGTTATGGTTCCATTTGATGTGTCGAGGTTCTCTGAACTTTAGACCATGAGATGTCACCTTTCGGAGATGTTCCTTTGGAATTATGTTTAGATCCCAAGTAATAATATGGCTAGAGGGCTGTAAATATAAGGCGAGTGGGAACAGTCACATATCAGGTTTTTTTTAGGTATTCTTCTAAATCAAGGTCCTGCAATGCTTGCCTATAGTTTAATACTTTAGGTGCAATGGTTTTGGTGTAATTATAGTGTATAAGTGTATAAAAAGTTTTTCCTGTTAAGTTACTAGTGAAATCTGGAGAAGTGATAAACATATTACATATCTTACATGTGCTCTTTTTTCCTTTTGTATGTTTACAAGTAGAAATGATAGGAGTTTGTCATATATTCTGGTACTGAGATGAACGATGTTGTCAAATTCGAGGTAAATGTCTATTAATGATGCGGATGAAGCTGTATCTGTGGGTTCTTTAATCTCTAGTTCATGAGGATATAATTATTATAGTGACCCAATCATTTTACTTTTCATTAGTTCTGAAATTGTTATAGTGTTGTTAGTGGTACTGATGGAAATCTTTGGGGAGAAGTAAGGTCTACAACATGTCAACTGATATCCAGCAAAACTTACACATTTTACAACTTATGATTGCTGAATGTGTACAGTTAAATATCTCGTGCATATGTGAAATGAAAAAATAATATTAATTCACAGGATCTGAAAATTGGGAGCACCAGTGTATTATTTATACAGTGTTAACTGACAGTTGAAAAAAAAACAAGTAAGTTTTTTCACAAGTCACCTATTAAATCCTACAAAAGCTGTTACTGTACTGTGGAATTTTCCTTAATCAGAACTCGGAGATTTCCAACCGTAATCTGACTGGAGTTGTTATTCTACATTTCACACAGACAATATACATTTTTTCTTAATGGGTCATTAAAAAAAGTCAGAATATATAAAACCTCAACTATCCTTTGTTGTTTGGAAGCAAAGGACAGAATCTGACTAAGAAGGACCACTTACATGTAAGCTCATAACACACCTTAACTGGTACGTTATGTACTGTGTCACTTAACTAGATAAAGCCGACGAGAATAAGGCAGTCCCACGATATCACAGAAACAGGAGTTCGATTCCCGCTGAGAAAAGAACAAAAATTTCAAGATCTAACATTGTTGGGCAAATTTAAGACGCAGTATATGTAAATTATTGTGTTAGCCCTATATAACCATATATAGGTTATCCCATGGAAAACGTATTTCGTTAAGTTGTCACATATTTAGACGTATACAAAAATTAGAATTGATGTGACTACATTGTAATTAAAATTATCATCCTTTACGACAGATAAAAAAGCTGATTTGCAAGGTATACCATCTATTTGGTACTATACATCATGTACTGGGTTATAAACATAGATAAAATAGACGAGGAAAGGCATTATCCAACTAACGAAAGCTACATTTATAAATAGCCTAGTTTGTCAAGTGGTCTAGGGCACTAGACACAGGGAAAGAGGAGTAGACACGATATCAGAAATAATAAACGCAAATAGATGTTTGGCATTATTTCAGACGATGTAAATATATATATATGTGTGTTTTGAAGAGAGGCCTTACTACGAAAGAATTTTAGACAATCTTCGTGTGTAAACCTCCTCCAGGTTGAGTCCAGATTTCAAAAGCTCTTTTTTATCTGGAATAACTAGTTTGTACAATTCGTCAACACATTGCATATATTCCTCGTTTTGTTTGAGACGATCCTGTATAGCTGGTTCGTCCGGACGAACAATTTTTTCTGACATTTTGAAGATAACATTTTTTTTCAGAACCAACTTTTCAATACAATCACGCTTTTCTGCATCATTTGAATATTTGTCTGGGGATTCGTGTAGTTTTGACATGGACTCGTGTATTTTGTTACAATGCTTGAACATATTTTCTCTTTCATTTAAAAGTTCATCCAGCTTTTTTAACAGTGTTTGTCGTTCATTTTCTGTAATACGTCCTTGAAATAAATTTCTTTCCGCTATCATATAACTCTCTAGATAACCAGATTCGAGAGCTTGTTTTAGAAATAGTATTGCATCTATTAGCCTATCAATTAAAGAGGATTGTGAGAACCCGAGCGCAGGGTTTGTTTCTATTTCCCAGAAAATTATGTTTTTCATAATGTAAGACGTCATTGCTGGACACAGAGGTATCAGAACTGACTTTGCCATGAGCTTTAGGAGCAAATACAGCTTTGTTTGAGATTCTGTGAAAGAATGTACGAGCATAATTTCGGCTTTTGTGTAGCATATTCTCCATTCTGTTTGTGGATAGCTGCTATCTTTATTTGAAACTGCCACTGCATGTCCTTCTAATGAAGAAATTTGTTTAATTAGATAAGGGTCTGGCCATCCATGCTTCCTCTCTCGTTTTACCCACTTTTCAATTAAATCGGGACAGATGCAAACCAACCCGATAACAAAATCATAATTAATGTAATCGTTCCCGTACCGTTCTGCTGGGCCAATTTTACCTTGATTTGTTATTCTAAATCCGTTAATATCAACCATTTGGTTGTTGAAAACATCATATAAATGATTCTTAACATATCCGTTCTCTAATTTTAGATGGTTTTGTACAAAGCTATGATTTTCATGCCCAAGTTTTAATCTGGCATAACCTGGAGAACAGTTATATTTATCGAGATGAAATACAGTGGGACTTGAACAGGGACTGCCGGACTCAACACATTTTATTCCGCCCACAAAGTAAAGACGGTCTATATCACTTTCAAAATAAAGAGCTGTTCCTTCAGCTTTACCACCAGATGTAATGACAGGGATGGGGTATACCTTATTTTGTATGTCGTCCATCTGTTTATTCTTCTCTCTACGGAAGTTTATCATTTCTTGACTGTATCCAAGTAGATCTAAGCTTTTTGACAAACGTTTGCAAAATTCCATATTAAACGAGGATCAAATTTATTATTTATACATTAAATAATCTTCTTGCATATTCCATTGTTTGAAAACATAATGTCAATGCTTGATGACATACCCCTAACTTAAATGTATAATCATTTTGTGACTGTTGATATGGTCCATTGAATATCATGGAGAAAACATGTCTCATTTTAATGGTCACTATGATCGTTTCCATTGCATAAGTCTGAATCATTTACCACCTGAAAAAGAAAGTTTAAACGAACAGAGAAGAGGACTATACGGCAATGAGACAATGAATGAAAATAACATTTGATTGATTTCGTGCGATCGAAAAGCTTCACGGTATTCAAACAAACCCAAACGTGTGAAATCCAAAGATGTTCAAGACCAATACACATAGGAGCTGAGGGAATTGTAACGTTAATTTCTAAATATCTAATCAATTCATCAACGGAAAATTTACAAAATGTTTGTTATAAACCATACCGAACATGAATAAACAAAGAAACATCTTGAATTTTTTACTATTGGCCGGTTATAGAAACACTTTCAAATCCTTCAACTAAATAATTTACTATTTGGAAATCTGGAGATTCGAGTTTTCATTTAAATTTGCCTGATTAAACAGGCAGTGACAGTGTACGTTTTTGTACCCCTACATTTTTCTAATTTAAGATATAATTTAAGTTTAATTTTCATCAAATAGGTTTAAAACAGAAAAGGTTAGGGGCATCTTATCCAATGTAATAAATATATAAACGATCTTGAACTCGTGCTCCCTCATGCAGAGTTGACCTTATACGAATTTGGCTATTATTTATAGGTCCCTTATAGTCATATAGCTCCTAACGTTTCTTCGTATCAAATTATCCCTGGCTTTCAAATGTTTGGGTTCGAGTGTTCTTGATGAAGATGAATCCAGAAAAGCTCTTGGAGGCACGAATTTAATAAAGTGTTATGTTCATTGTATAATCATATATTGTTTTGATTGAAACTTACCCTAACGAATAAAGCAAATGTTATATTAACCTTTAATTTTATTCTCATGTCAAAGTATTTTGATAAACTTCTTTGAATAAAAAGACATCAAAGATAGCATTGCATAATAACACACGTTATAAATTTCATGCGTCCGAAGCGCTTTCTGGATTTACCTTCATTGGGAACGCTCAAAACCGACTATTTGAAATCGAAGGATGCATAAGAGCTGAAACAGTTGAAGAGCTATATGATCATATCTGCACAGTATAATACATATTTATATTCACTTCTCTTCATAAACCCATTATTATATTTAGTGAATTTTCTCAGAATGTTCACCCTTTAATGCCATTGTGTACCTCTTATTTTGTTTTGTTTTTTTATGTTTTCCTTGGCAAATCGTGGAATTTGTAATGGAATATTCTTGGGGTACCAAATTTGTATCTGTTATTCCTCCTTATTAGAATGTATTGAAACTTTCCTAGAACCTTAACAATTAACCGTCACCATACACCTCCGATTTCTTTTTGTGGATTCTCTTATAAAGCATAAGTGTCAAAAGATTGAAAATCAGAGAAATCTTTTCAAACAAAACACTCTGACCTGAACTACAATATATCATTTATTGCGGTCGTTAAAATGATGAGAGCTACACCATAATGTAAGTTTATCATCACTGTTAACAAGGTGCATACCAGCCTTGGATAACTTATTGTCGAAATATGGAATAAAGTTACATTTAGTTGATCATCCAAGTGTTAAGAAACCGGGGATGCTTAATTTCTCTTTGGACTTCATATTGCCATGTGGTGTAGATGCTAATTATCTTTTATCTGGGATATTTCCAGTCACAGACTTTTCAAACCAGTTCACATTGGAAAAGATGAAAAGGAGAAAATATCCTTTCTAAATCATTCCTTTGTCTAACAAAGGTTTCGATACAATCACCTGGGGCAATATCCTTCATCATAAATCAGTTCACTCGAGAATACCTTCCTAATCTAAAATCAGTCTATACTATAATTCGTTATACGTATACCAAACCAATTGCACATAAATTTTCAGTTTCAAACACGTATTGCGTGATCTCAATATTGACGACTTCATGTCTAAACCTCCTAATTGCACATGAGCTATGTGACCATTCATATATAATCCGGCTGACCATATTATTACTGGTGACCTAAAAGTCAGGTAATGTGTAAAACTCAAGAAAGAAGACGTAGATACTTTCTGAATGGACTAAGGCTGTGCGGTCGTTAATACAAATCAGAATTAAAAAACTGAATGGGTCTATGAATATACATACTACATCAATGTTTAAAGACCCAAATGTTGTTAAGCACCTGTTCTTCCTTCATGACAAATATTGTTGGTGTTCCTGCAGATAAAGCCCTAAAAAATCATATTGTGTGTAAATCACATTACATAAACTGCTGGATAAATGAATAAGGTATTGACAATTCACTTGAAAACTCATTATGTACCCTCACGACACTTACACAGGAAAAAATCCTGGATAATCATAGATCTGGTCTGTGTTTCTTTTGAATTTCAAACAAAAATGAAGAACTGGATCTTCCATCATTGTATGGGATACCGAAATTACATAAGTGTCCTTACAAGCAACGTTATATTGTTTGGTCTTCCAATTGCTCCACGAAACCGCTTTCTAATTATTAACATCAATTTTATCAGCAATCAAAGCAGAGCTTCAAAGTTAATGTTAACTACCTATTCTAGGGTCGGAGTGAATGAGATGTTTTCACTCGCTACGAAACAGGGGAAAACCTCGCTTTTCGTCCTGTTTTTAAAGCTTGTACAAGTAAATTTAATAATGTACCTATATTAGATATGTACGTGTTTACACCATTTAAAATCTACTCGGGTTTCATTCTTAAAAGAAGTTGGAATATATTATAAAATATAAAAATGTTGTATGAATTGAAAATGATTTGAATTTTTATCACCTTATTTTAGTGTTGATTTTTATTTGTAAATTAAAATATTTGCTTTAGACTTGTGTTTTAGTATATTGTAGGACCTTTTGTCTGATTTTGAAAATATACTTTAAATTGTTAAATGTTCGAATTAGCTCTCGCCGCGATAAAGCCTTTTTGCGCTAAGGCGGCGTAAAGAAAACCCCAATCAATCAATCAATAAAATCTACTCTGAGTACAGACAAGCCGATGCAACTAGGACAGTTTAAAATCATGGCTGGAACTAGCTATATACAAGTTATATTCATATTTTTCAGGAAGTTAAAAGTTTACCTGCATTTTGATATACATTTTTCCAGTCTGCAGAAGATATCAAAATAAACAAACACCTGAGTTCCACTCAGTTACACAGTTTAAATCACCTATTGATATGCAGCTCTATTGTCCATGCAACTCAATACCGTTCATACCATTTATTATACGAGGGGAGCTCCTCAAACCTCTTTCCCAATTTAGTTTATTTTGGTACTTTCTGCAGGAACGGAAAAAAAATGAATCCATTAAAGTATTTAATATTATGGAACTTAAAGTGTATTTAAATTTTATTTATCTATGTAAAGTCATGCTTTAAAACTTTTCCAGGTGTAAAGATTTGTCTGTACTGAGAGTGAAATTTGTAACGTAAATACGGACATAGTTGTGAAATTAGTTTTAAAAAAAACTTCAGATATGAAAATATGAAAATAGTGTTTCAGAAACCTATTACATCAAACAGACAATACTTTAAATGTACATTATCTATAAAACGTAAAATAACAAAAACACCGAACTCCAAGGAAAATTCAAAACGGAAAGTCCCTTATCAAGTGGCAAAATCAAAAACTAAAACACTTCAAACGAATGGAAAACAACTGTCCAATCCCTCACTTGGTACATACATTTCCTTATGTAGAAAATGGTGTATTAAACAATGTGTGAGCAAAACAAACAGACATAATAGGTTAAAATGTCAAAAATTGTGGTACAGCAGTCAACATTGTGTTATGATCCTAATCACAATAAAAACAAATAACTATTTGAACAAAGAAAAGAAAAACAAAAAGGCATATAGACACTCTATAGACAAATTACATAATCAAAAATGAAAGACAAGAATACAAAAATGACCATAGCACAGTAACACAATGGCGGGATGAATAAATACCTTGCAACGCCAAAAGTATATACCAAAAATGGACTAAACAGTAAAGGTTAAAATATACAAAGACAAATAAAAAGAACACGTTAACACTTGATTAAGATGATTCACAACGTCAGTACCTAGAATCTATACTTCAAGACCATCATGTATTATATGTGAAGTTGATAAAGAATATCCATCAACAAGATCTTGGTATCTTCCGATGAACTTTTTTTAGAAAAAGAACGAGACGTTCTTTGACATAACCCTGGTTCACCAACTTTCTGATCAGACACTGGAGATGTTTTATTAAGTCTGAGTATACCTGCAAGCTCTTGAATATCGAATGAGTTGGCAAATGTATATCCCATATCCAGGGAAAGTTGGTATATTACTGCAAAGGTGGGGGAAATTTATAATTTCAAAATTAAAATCGTCTCGTTTGTCACAGATTCTGTTACTGAGATGACCACTGGTGTCAAATTCGAGGTATAAGTCTAAATATGAGGCGGAAAAAGCCGTGTCTGCTGTTTCTTTAATTTCTAGTTCTGGAGGATATATTAATGGAACCCAATCAGAAAAGTTTGGATTTTTTTTTCTTAATGGAAAGAACATCATCGATATATCTGAATGTGAAATTAAATGATCTGGCTTCTTTGATCTTCTTGAAATTGATAAGTGTCTGAAGGAACTCTACTAATATGAAAATAAGAAGAGGTCGGCAAGGAGAGGTGCACAATTCGTTCCCATAGGAATGCCGACAAATTGTTGAAAAAGTCTGTCTCCAAATTCAGCAAATATGTTTTCAATAAGGAAATCCAGCATACTGAGCACTTGTTCCTCTGTGCAGCATGTTTTACCTATTTTATATCATTTATCTTGTATTCACCATTTACGCATCGACCGTTTATTCATATCATTCATTCTAGGGTAAAATAATTCATTTCTAGACTATTAGCATATAATTAGTAATAGAGAAAAATAACCGACCTGTATATATAGAACATAGCAAACTAAGAAAGAATAAATAAAACTTAGAAAATATCAAATTTCACATATGACTTTGTCCACCATAATATCAAAAAGTGACGATCAGAATAAAGAACAAAAGAAATAGCGTCAAAACATAATAACCAATATAAATAAAGAACTGTGACGAAAAAGTGTAGTATGGTACTTGAACTAAAGTGTGTATTCTTGTGGTTGTGTTGTGTTGTTGGGTGTCTAAGTTTCACTCGTACACGGACGACAAATGCCAAGTATACTCTTTAACAGGGTTACCCTTGAAATCTACTGGTAGCGTGATTAAGGGAATCCTGGTCACATAAATAAATAAATGGATCCTGGTGTAGTCTGAACGAAGTCGAATAAAAGTTCAATACTGTATTATTAAAATCATAAGACTATAACAAAGTTACAAGTATAACACAATGTACATCTAACTTCAGGCTCAACAATACGGCTCTCCTCTCTACTAAATAAACGCAACTGTCCTCTCCTCACTATAAATTATCTCTCCTCCTTATCTCACGCTCTTTCTCTCTTTTATATGACTCCTACAAGCCCGTATACAAATATAGACTACTAGGGCAACCGGGCTCCGTGTAGTCCGTGCTCCGGAAGTCCGGGTGCTCCGGTAATCCGGGTGCTCCGGTGATCCGGGCTCCTAGTGTTCCGTGCTCCTTACATAAATTTACTAGGGCACCATATGCAAATCATTAGGGCTCACTAGTCAAACAAAGAAATCTAAATATAACATCTTATTAATATAATCTCTGATGATCTCTAACTGTATTAAATGGCTATGTGTGAAAATACAGATGTACGTAAACCTGATACAATCAGATAACACACTTGACCTAACATATAGAAATGTTACAAAGCCCCCTCTTAACTATGAACTTCCACTGTTCAGTATACAGCATTGTATAAAAAAAAAATCTAATTAAATACTGTTCTTGAGCACCTTATAACAAATACACACGTAGCCAACAAGTAGTACACGTATATAAAAAATGTATACATATCAAAAACATATCAGGGTTTGCATCAAAAGAACTTCTAAGATAAAAAAATATATATATAAACAAAAATGTACATGTACCCTGAGATAGATGATAATAAAAAAAAACCTTATCATAACTTTTTAAAACATAAAAACAGCACCCCAGACTAGTTTTGAGTATTATGCGATTCTAAATAACAAAACTTAACACAACTTACAGAGATATCATATTTGTATCATGGAATATAAAAAAAAAACCATCGGAATCCAAGATTTGATTCTTTAAAATGTTTAAACGTACACTCAAAATTGGGCCAGGTAACACCAAGTAAATAACAAGGGTCACAGGGCTCCATATAAACAAAATTACTTTAAACTAATTTTGCGAACATTTGCTAACAAAATTTAAGTCTATGTAAAATAAGCACCAATTATTAAAAATAAGAAATATAACAAAAATACAAAAATTATATAGTGCTGACAATGATATATTTTAAGTCTACATAATAGTTTTAGATTTAAGACTTTCAAAACAATGGAGTTTACTGGTCTTAAAAAAATGTAGTTAATCATTGTTTAATGGGCATTGAGACACCATGATTGAAGGGTTTCAAGCGACATATTGTAATTTTAAAGGGCTTCGAGACACCATAAAAATGTATTTAGGGTTTCGAGCACCAAATAAAGCTAAACTTCTACTTTATAAATAAACACAGAAAAACTTCTGTATAAAACAACATAGTTTACACAATAAATAAACAACTGTTTATAAAGTCACTTGGTTTATTCACTATCTTCTTCCGTCGTTTCATTGTGGGATTTTTTCTTTTCATTATACCGTCCATGCCGGATGACCGACACCCGGCCTCTGGTGTCGATCTCCTCTGCGTAAATCTGTCTCTCGAGAATCTCTACGGTCCCCTTCTCGGTTCCGGAAATTCTGGTGGACGATTTTTAAACATCGGGGATCTGTCTCCTCCATGCCATATATCACGGTTATAGAATCGCCCTTGGGATCCTTTACCGTTATTCCGTGGGTAATTATTAGGAACTTTATTTCTGTCGACATTTTCTCTTCGTGTTCCTTCTACTTCTGCAGTTACATCTTCATCACTATCCCCGTCTTCAACTTCAAATACAGGCCGCTGAACTGGTTTGAAATGCTTGGCGAGATCCTTTTCTCCTACTCTTAAGCATTCTTCCTGCATTGAATTAATTACCGCCTCTTGCAGGGTATTAGGTCTGGTTCGCTTGACAGCAAGGCGAAAATCTTCTGACTGTCCGCACTTGTCAAGGAACGCTTTAATAGAGTTCTCCTCTACAATCTCAGGATTGCCCGGATACGGTCTACGGTACAAATCCTCTATGGCTTGACCAAAATCTCTCAAAGATTCTTCCGGTTTTCTCTTTCTCATTTTTGCCTCTGTCACATACCTTTCTTTCATCGCCGTATGTCCAAATCTCTCTTCCATCTTTTGTTTAAGACGATTATTATCTCTCTGTATTATAACTGGCATCCCGTATGCATACGTCTCTGCTTGTCCCCTAAGAGTGCTTAGTAGGACCCTTCGTGGCTTTTCGTTGTTCCATACATTTAACTCGGATATATTCTCGAAGTATTGAATAAACTCATTCCAAACATCATTCCTTGCTCCGGAAGAGGTCCTCCGTACAGGATATTCATTAGATGGAGGAACGTTCCTTCCACGGATACACCAAGTATTCGGGTATTCCGTAGTCGTTCCGTTTATGTCAGTACATTCATTTTCTATACTATCAGACTCTGGCAATTGGACATGTCCTAGTGATAAGCCCATGTTTTCCGATGTATGCCCGGGTGACTCAAGCTCCATTTGCCTTTGTCCGTTTATAACAGGAGAATTAGGCCAAGGGCTCGAGTACGAGGGCATTTCATCTGAGTCATAGGGCGTACCAGTATCAGTGATAACATTATCCGGAGTACGGCTTAGCCCATTATACATATGATTAGGGCTTCGCCTGTTCCTGGACCATGTATATGCAGTGTTTTCTGACTTATAGCCAGTAATGACGGAATTCCATACTAATTTCAAAACTATCGTTGAAATTATCAGGCATATTATCGCTAATAATCCAATCACTACATATTCCTGAGACTTCTGTACTGCCCTATTGTTAGGAAAATAAATCCATGCTGTTGCAACGAGGCCGCTACTGAGAGTAAGCAAACTAACCCATATTTGCCAAAATTTCTTCCAACCATTTCCTCCGTCTTTTTCCGTATTGCTCATCTC